GGGGGGGGGGCAAAGGGGACAGTGGAGGGGTGCATTGTGATAATGATCCCCACACAGGTAATCACAACAACAACAACCATTTGTGCATTGTCCTTTGCCTTTCTCAGTGACTCACTAAATGACAGTCAATGTAGGTCGGCAAATGATGGGGGATGGTAGCCTTCGGTCTCTAGGGGAAACACTTCTCCCATGCTTGCTATGGGTGGAAACACTTAATGTTTACCAGGGGTTGCCAGCCAAGTGCAATGGAAGTCTGCAGGTTTTTCATTCCAACCAGTGACTACACCCACACATTACAACACCTTTGGATGAGTGCATCTCACACGTGAAATTACCTGTTACAGTAATGAGTTGCGGAAAAGAAAAAAAATCTATAGGCTCTCCAAGCCATGGTTGGCCATGCCTGGAACTACAAGGATTGGGCTACTAGATCTTTCAGCATGATGAGTCATGAGGCTGAAGCAGCTGGCATAGTTGTGTGACCACTGCAGCTTCTGTCTGCCTTTTTTTTTGTTTTCTTTTTCCTTTTTGAAGTCTACATGCAAGCATGTCTGCATAGGTTGTATACCCATACACCTTCACTCTGTGTAACCAAATACCTTTGCAAATGGACACAAACATGATACCATGAATCCCACATAACACATTAATGAGCGCATTCAGTCCCACTAGAGCTTCATCAAACACCCAATCCTATGATCCTCGCAAAATTACAAGTCAAATTTGAACTCCTTATTAGACACAGCAATATGAGTGAATTTGCACTCGCAAGAGAGACACTGGAAAAGAGGGTTTCTCCCTGGGAAATGATTGGAAAATGGCAACAGACTAAGGATCACTGATGGAGCCACCATAATTGTTTCCATTCAGGACCCAAGATCCACCCTCATGCAAAACTTGTCAACATCAAATAAAAATGTCATCTCTCACTTGCATACGGGTGACATTTAGTTTTCTCAGTTGAAACCAAACTAGTATTATAGTGTTCAAAGAAGGAAATTCCC